ATACCTCCCAAGTTTGAACATTAACCATCTCGGCATGCGTAAAGATATGGGAAAAAAGTTACCACAGCTGTATTATACAAAAATGAAACTTTCTTATGATCTGGGTTTTACTGCAACGTAATAACGCCATCACGCTTTTTATTTATCTTTGGTATGGCGTGATTCTGTGGGTGTTGGAGTTCCATGTCAGGGCTTAAATCTTCTCTCTCTTTTCAGTCATGCCGAGGAGGTAAAGCCAATCATGGACGGCACGATACAACGTCTATAGCGGATTACTTGTACAGACGTCAACTTGGAACTGAAGCTTTCAAACACGGTGATTTTAAAATAGCCCGGAATTACTTCGAGCTGATATTGAACGATGCCAAAAAGATAAAAAACAAACGCTTTGAAGGGAATGCATGTAACGACCTTGGTCGTGCCTATCATTCTCTCGGGGAATTCAAGAAAGCAATTGAGCTTTATCAGCTAGGCCTAAGTATTGCCAAAAATACTGGAAACAAAAATGCACAAGGAACTGGATATAACAACCTTGGCCTTGCCTATCATTCTCTCAGTGAATTCAAGAAAGCAATTGAGCTTTATCAGCTAGGCCTAAGTATTGCCAAAAATACTGGAAACAAAGATGCACAAGGAACTGGATATAACAACCTTGGTGCTGCCTATCATTCTCTCGGTGAATTCAAGTTTATATTGTAGATTGATCTATATGTTATCCATTCTATGTGTTAGACTTACGATAAAAGTAAAGGTGGGGATACCAGAGAACTTCAAAGTAGGATGGTACCCCCCCAAAAAAACTGGGTCGAGTCACCTTAAGTGATTTAAGTATAATTATATTTACTTGATTTCAGGAGCGTACGCCTCTGCGGAATTAAATCTGTTAGACCTGGCAATTGACTGGTGTGTCAAAGGATTGATGGTATCCTTTAGTAATTTACATGCATCCATGATATACACATCAAATGTGCTTTCTTGGCCAAGCTTAAGATCAAGATGGCTGAATAATTGACAAGAACGAGGCGAATTTTTGGCCATAAAAATATTTATTATATGGCCAAAACAACATATTTTCTTGCGGAACAGAGCAAGCAATACAGAGTGGGCAAGATACGGCCCATCGATCCTAGCCACTCGTGTAGCCAATCAGACCACAGGATTCGCCTCCGTACAGAATTGAAATTAGCCTGCCTAGCTGGGGGAATAGGCTACTTTCGAGTTCCAAAGACTCTTACTTCCAAAACGAGGTTAGGTGCAAAACCTTTGTCGTGAAAATATGTTTTATTTGCATGAGAATAAAAACTCATTTTCATATCAATGGCTTTGTACTTAGCCTTGCTTTGAAACAGAGGCTTGAAACAGCTCGGAAGTGACCAATTGTTTTTGGGTGCGTACGAGAATCGCTATTGCCGGCATAGCAGGCTAAATCAAAATGATTCCACGCCCTCTTTGAAAAATGAATCGCATTTAAAGCAATCATCGTCATCATTATCATTTTTCTACTCTTATCTCACCTTGTTGTATGAATGGTTATAGTCCATAGTGGTCTAGCATCCCCGATTAAGACTGAATTAGTACTACTTCTAGTATTGCAATTATACTTAACATGCACTTAATTCTAACATCATTTACCTTAACAATATGAAAGATTGACGAGGAAAACACTACGCTGATAAACCTGGCTTTGACATGCACAGGAACAAGAGCCAAAGACAACAAGGTATTACATTTCTATAATCAGCACTTTGCTTCATAAAGCCATCGAAGTCACCTTTAATAGTAAGGAGGATTGCCTCTTTAATACCATTCATTCCTTTTTGCAAGAAATTAATCTCGGATTTCGGTAATAACCATCCTGCGGAGAAGGGAAGGTGCCCTAGTAAATTACTCGGGTGCGTACACTAAGAACTAAGAACTAAGAACGGTGGCGCTGACCAAGAGGATGGAGCACGCGAGCACACGTGTACTCCTCCCCTGCGCACATCACTTATCTCGCGCCCCATATTTCTTATGCCCGGCTAGCCTGCCATGCAAGCATGCAAATACAATATATATACCCTATCGCACTTAATTTCGCGTTTTACGCAATTGCAAAACAATCGCGAAAATAAATCCTCGCAAAATTTAAGGAAGCGAAATAAAATACTCATATAGAAAATTTAAATCACGGAAAAAAATATTAACTTGAAATAGCAACAACAGGATCAGGATATGTATCAATAATTTAACTTATTTAAAACTGGTTATACTGGTAAGCTCTGTTTTGTATCTTCAGTAGGTAAAAAACCGTTAATTTGTGAAGCTTTCACATATTGCTTTTCCAGTTTAAGTAGAAATTTGAAAACTTTCAGAAGTTTTTTAAAAATAAAGTGAAGTTGAGAGTGCTTAAATTTAATGCCCTCTTCTCATATTTTCGTGTTTAAATCGCGAAAATAAACCCCAGAAAAATACTATCTCGCCAAAATCGCGAAATTAAGGACCAACAAGGCAATCTTTGCTTGGTTAAATTTCATCAAACACTGAAATTTCCCGACTCAACAATCGATCGTGTTGTCACAGTTAATGATATATAAAGCTTGAAAGGAGACTATATGAAATTGCATGGATCAGAGATTTTACTCGCAAATATTTTTTTTTTCTAAACTTTGTATAAAATAAATGTGAATAAAAACCACCACGTACATATAAAGGGTGTATGTAGAGCAGTGCCTATAGTAAATATTAGCTCTTGTAGATGTGATACTTTATGTTTTTGAAGTAGGTAGAGTTTAACTGGAAACGTACTGTCCGAGCTAGGTGTGGGTCAGTTATGTACTAAAATGTTTCAAAGCGATGATCTCTCAATTCGTCTCAGTTTCACCAAACTGTTATTCAATATATACGCGACCCTAATGTCACGAAAGAATTACCTGTATTTCCTCTATTTATTTCCTTAGGACATATTAGGGAGTTTACGCAACGACAACGGCGACGGATACGAAATCGTCACTTAAAAAGTGAATTTGCGCTGCCTCAAACTTTATCGCGCTTATTCAATCTCGTTTAATTCGTCAAGTGTTGGCAAATTGTTTTGGAGTTGAATTCTAAAGGACTTATCAAAGTTCAGGAAAAGAAAAAGAAAGTTGTTGTCTTTTGTTCCCGTCCTCAACAAAACGTGAAATTAGGCAGTTTCATGTTGTAGTCTTGCAACGACGGCAGAGAAATGTACAAAAAGGCGTGATGCACGCGCAAAGTTGTTGTTTTGCTAATCTAAACCTATTGCTTTTTTTGCCGTTCTCGTTGCCTTCGTCGTCTTCGTTGGATAACTGAACTCCCTATTATTAGAGGCTGGTTGCGGGCTAATTCTTGAAGACTGGGGCTTGATGACGTGTAATGAGATCAAAACGGGGATGGCGGGAAGGGAGAGAAGTTAAGGTGGCTCGACTTGATTTTTTGGGGGGGATACCTCCCAAGTTTGAACATTAACCATCTCGGCATGCGTAAAGATATGGGAAAAAAGTTACCACAGCTGTATTATACAAAAATGAAACTTTCTTATGATCTGGGTTTTACTGCAACGTAATAACGCCATCACGCTTTTTATTTATCTTTGGTATGGCGTGATTCTGTGGGTGTTGGAGTTCCATGTCAGGGCTTAAATCTTCTCTCTCTTTTCAGTCATGCCGAGGAGGTAAAGCCAATCATGGACGGCACGATACAACGTCTATAGCGGATTACTTGTACAGACGTCAACTTGGAACTGAAGCTTTCAAACACGGTGATTTTAAAATAGCCCGGAATTACTTCGAGCTGATATTGAACGATGCCAAAAAGATAAAAAACAAACGCTTTGAAGGGAATGCATGTAACGACCTTGGTCGTGCCTATCATTCTCTCGGGGAATTCAAGAAAGCAATTGAGCTTTATCAGCTAGGCCTAAGTATTGCCAAAAATACTGGAAACAAAAATGCACAAGGAACTGGATATAACAACCTTGGCCTTGCCTATCATTCTCTCAGTGAATTCAAGAAAGCAATTGAGCTTTATCAGCTAGGCCTAAGTATTGCCAAAAATACTGGAAACAAAGATGCACAAGGAACTGGATATAACAACCTTGGTGCTGCCTATCATTCTCTCGGTGAATTCAAGAAAGCAATTGAGCTTTATCAGCTAGGCCTAAGTATTGCCAAAAATACTGGAAACAAAAATGCACAAGGAACTGGATATAACAACCTTGGCCTTGCCTATCATTCTCTCGGTGAATTCAAGAAAGCAATTGAGCTTTATCAGCTAGGCCTAAGTATTGCCAAAAATACTGGAAACAAAGATGCACAAGGAACTGGATATAACAACCTTGGTGCTGCCTATCATTCTCTCGGTGAATTCAAGAAAGCAATTGAGCTTTATCAGCTAGGCCTAAGTATTGCCAAAAATACTGGAAACAAAGATGCACAAGGAACTGGATATACCAACCTTGGTGCTGCCTATCATTGTCTCGGTGAATTCAAGAAAGCAATTGAGCTTTATCAGCTAGGCCTAAGTATTGCCAAAACTACTGGAAACAAAGATGCACAAGGAACTGGATATACCTACCTTGGTGCTGCCTATCATTCTCTCGTTGATTTCGAAAAGGCAAGCAAATTTTCCCAGCTGGGTCTAATCATCGCAAAAAAGACTGAAAACAAAGATTTACTACGAGGCGGATATAACATCCTTGGCCATGTCTATCTTTCTCTCGGTGATTTCGAAAAAGCAATCGAATTTTATAAGCTGGCTGTAACCATCGCAAAAGAGACTGGAGACAAACATTCAGAAGGACGTGGATATATCAATTTTGGCAGAGCCTATCAGTCTCTCGATGATTCCCTAAAAGCAATTGAATTTTGTCAGCAAGGTTTAAGTATCGTGAAGAAGACCGGTGACAGAGGTGTAGAACAATTTGCATATAGCGAACTTGCTCGTGCTTTTTTTCTTTTGGCGACTTCTTGAAAGCTGAGAAGCTTTTTAAATCCCAAATAAAAATGGCAGAAGAAATGAGGGTTCTTCTTCAAGAGAAAGACGAATGGAAAATCAGCTTTCGGAATAAACATGACTTTAGAGGTTTAGTAGCACTTCAATTACAACAAGGCAAGACCATCGAAGCGCTTTTTACAGCTGAGGCGGGGCGAGCACAAGCTCTCGTGGATCTCATGGAGTCGCATTATGGAGGCAAAAAATCATTTCAATCGTCGTCCAAACTGCAGATGGAACTGACACTATCTAACATTTCAAGCCATATTTCGTCACCTACGCTATTTCTAGACAGAGACAGAGGCAGAGACAGAGACAGAGACGCGTGCGACGAAGCAGTGTATCTTTGGCTTCTGCTAAAGGGACAGTGTCAGTTTGTGCGAAAGGAAATCAGTGTGGAGTTGAAAAAATTGATTGACCAAACATACAATCAGATTGGTGGTAAGAGAAGAGGTAGGAGCGATAATCGTTCCCCGGATGGGCCAGAAGATGAAGAAATCGACGACTTGTCCGATAGGGGTACAGAGGCGTCTGCATCGTCATCACAGCAAGACAAGGGGGGTGCTTTAAAAACGTTGTACGAGTTGCTTATTGCTCCAATCTCACATTTGATAAAAGGTGATGAACTCATCATTGTTCCTGACGGATCTTTCTTTCACATTCCTTATGCCGCCCTTGTGGACCAGTATTCCAAGTATTTGTCTGAAACGCTGAGAATTCGGCTGGCTCCATCACTTACCTCCTTAAGATTACTGGCAGAATGTCCGGAGGGGCGTCATAGTACATCTGGTGCACTACTTGTTGGTAATCCGTGGGTGGAAACAGTACGCATTAACCGCAGAAAGTTACCGCAGCTCCCTGGTGCTGAGAAAGAAGTAAAAATGATTGGACAGATTCTCAACATTGTGCCTCTCACTGGTAAGAACGCTACAAAAGAGCAAGTTTTAAGCAGGCTTAACCCAGTGTCCTTAATACACATTGCAGCTCATGGTCGAACAGAAAACGGAGAAATTATTTTATCTCCTAATCGTGCTAGTGTGGACAGACCAAAACAGGAGGACTTTCTTTTGACGATGACAGATGTATTGGCTGCAAAACTGCACGCCAAGCTTGTTGTATTAAGCTGCTGTCACAGTGGGCAAGGGCCAATCAAAGCCGAAGGAGTGGTTGGTATCGCACGTGCCTTTTTAGGAGCCGGTGCTCGTTCTGTTATCGCGACACTGTGGGCGATTGACGACGAAGCCACTCTGGAGTTTATGAGACACTTTTACGAACATTTGGTAGCAGGGCAAAGTGCAAGTAAGTCGCTTCATCAGGCTATGAAATGTATACGGGAGTCTGGGGAATACAAAGCTGTGAAGCATTGGGCCCCTTTTGTGCTGATTGGTGATGACGTGACATTGAATTTCAGCCAATGAAAGGTGAGATCCTCACTGTAAGCTTAAGTAGAAAAATGATCATCTGGTCAAGCTTGGTTTGCGTAAAGATCGAACCCAATGTTAGCAGGCTTCTATACATTCTCTCTTACGTGCTCGCGCCAAAATTGCACGCCGGAACGTATTTTCCAAGCGAAACGACAAAAAGAGAGCGTGATCTCAGGTTAGATTTATAACGGGAGGTTTTTTAACCTTTGAAACTTAGATTAAAAGTTGACGATCGTTAGCATAACTGTAGAGGAAGCTACATTTTTCCCAAATCACCACTGGTAACCAAACAAAACGATAGAAAAATAGTCAGAGTTTTGTGCTGTCTGTCATAAGGCCAGTTTGTCAGTTCTTCATAGAAGAACGTTGCGAAGACGACGGACTTAGAATCACGTTTACAATATTATGAAACCAGCAAGGGACAAGAAGAATCCGCCTGCTCACTTGAATTTCCGGCACACATAAGGCCAGTTTGTCATGTACACATCAATCAATCACAGTCTCCTGCGACATGAAGGTTAACCGCCACAGGCAGACCATCCTCTGTTCGTGGGCCGTTGTTGTTGAAATCGGAGCATCGATCTCATTTACCAACCCTAATTCAGGACAAAATACGTGATTTCGTTCCCTACTCTATTTCAGACCTGAAGTTGCTGTTCTTAACAGTCAAATGGTAAAATGATATGCCTAATTCCAGACGCTGGTCCAGACAGCACAAAACTTTACCCGTTCAGTTCAGACTCAAATGATTAACAATTTATGCTCATTTTCAGAGACCAAAGAGCCAAAACCCGTGGAGGGGGGGGGGGGGGGGCCACAAAAAAGTTTAAACAGGGGAGCCTTCCCCCAAGGGCCCCCCCTTTTCCTTTTTTTTAACCCTTTTTTGACGGCAAAGGTTTTTCCCCCCAATCCTTTCTCTCCACATACTTCACCCTTTTCAAACCCTATCCAAAACCAGCTTTCAAAATTNTTCGCTTCCCTTTTATATACCCCGCTGAGTGAAAGGCTATACCCTTTCATATACCTGAAGCCTGAAAAAGGTACCCCTTTCGGGCGGAGCCTCCCCGTATAGGCCATCATAGGGAGTACCCCATGGAGTAAAAAACCATACCCTTTGGCGCCGCATATACCTACATAGCATACCGGAAGGAAGTATACTTCTCCCAACTTCCCACCTACCCGGGATTTCCGTCTGGCCAACATTCATTTAATACTATAGTTAAATGCACTGTTAGAAATTAACTTGCCTGTTCCTGTCTTGCATCCACTGCAGAGCCTACCAGAGAAAAGATGATGTTCTGATGCCGTGATTTGGAATCGCGCTTACTATCCTCCATTGCCTCCTTGATTTGGATGCTGCCAGGAGCTGGGCTGCTGCTGCTACAGGATAGACTGTACCTGCTAATGGACACCTGCATGTTGCAAGTGAACACTGCTTTGCAAGTGACTTAATGGCAAAATTCAAAGTGTAGAATTATCAGTCCTTCTGAGTTTTTAAATTAGTGAAGTATTACAAGAGCTCGATCAATACTGATCCACTTACTAAATTTAACTGAGTTCCACAAGGTTCTTCGTCTTTTGACAGAGCACCTTTCAACTTGTAACTAAAGCTTTGACAAGTCGAGCTTTTTCGTAGATTCAATTCATGTAACATTCGCTGTAGGTTCTAAACGTTAAAGGTAGCGTTATATATGCTGCGATTACATTTTTTATTTTGAAGTAGGAACCTTAAGAAACCACGTCGGCGATGGCAACGGAAACGCTGAAACAAAAATATGATTAATGAGTACTGCACTTGCATTACACTATTCTGTAAATTTCTTTGCCGTGTCCATGAAACAAAACAATTTAAAATAACCAAATTTTGAGTTCTCTCGAGAACGTGAACGACAAGGCGATGAACTTTACTGTGTATGTATGAACTCGAATGCGGTTCCCTCTCTTCAGCTGTCTTCAGCTCCAACTTATTTATTTCCCAACTTTAAAATAACTGGACGAGTTGGAGAAATCTCGAAAACGTTTGAGAGGACGCGAAGTCACTTTTTCAGTGGCGTTTTCATTCATTTGCGTTGCTGTTGTCTAGTTCCCGAAATGAGCTTCATGTGTTGTCTTGTTAAGTTAAATAAATATAGCCTGAGTGGCGTTTGTAAATGTGATGTCGTTTCTCGCTCATATTTCTCCGAGATTTATTCCAGTTGGTAGTTTCTAAACTCTAGGTAATGCCTTGTGATAGATTAAAAACGGCAATTTTCTTTCTTCAGTAACACTATAACATTGTAGACAAGAGACAATTGACAGTGAATTCAAGGTTTACTTGTGTTTTTATCAAGTTACTACAAAACAAATACGTTGTCTTGAATAAATACTGTCGTTTAATATAATATTTTGTTGTTTCTTGCTTATTTTTCATTAAAAATTTTTTTTCTGTTGGTAGTTTCTAAGGCCTGCTGCAAGCTTTTTCATGGGATTCAGGGTCTTTCCAAAATCCCACGCTCATTCTTCGCCAAGAGACTTCCTACTGAGCACCAACATAAAACTTTGTCAGGGTTCCGCTGAGTTCGACTGCTATGTATTTTCTGTGCTGTATCATTTAAACGAATGCAGAGCCCGGATAAGAAACCAGGGTGAACTTGGGCGGGCACGAAAGTCACCCTGGTACCATTTATACACCCCTTTAAGGAGTATTGATCATAGTATAGTTTCGAGGGAGCCGTTTCCTTATATTCCGATTCTGCCGTTGATTCATTTCTAACGACCCTAACTTGGATGAAAACGGCAAAAGAAGAGAGCATCGATTAGCAAACAAAATTTGTCTTTCATTTTTGGGCACAACCCGTCCTTCTCTTTCGGACGATCAAGATCAAGCACTCAACATGATTTGGAGTTCAACCCCCCAAGAATAAGGTTGATAAGATGTCCAAAATGATCGCAGTCTCCGGGAACGAGATTGAGAAAGAAGATGCCCAGCCCTCTTCTTCCAACCCGTACAAATGTTTCTTTAGTCTTTGCATACCACGACCTGTACAGCTGTAACAGGCTACCCAGCCTTCGACAACCCACCTGGTCTGGAAACAAAATCCTAATTAGAACAAGTGTAACAATATCCTCCCCACAGACGTCCTTTGGTGTATGCTTTGGTGATTAAACACTGTTGCAGCATATCATAACCTGCTGACCAATAAACTTATTAACAACCTCTGTGACCCAAGGCTCATCTCCACGAACCATTGCAAGTTTAGAAACCTTTAACCTCATTTTCACTAGTATATCAAGATTGGAATGAGATTTACAAGAACAAAGACTCTGAATCGATATTCAAATCGTGGTTTATTTGAATTTGATCGTCTTAGTTACCCTCACTCCTCTGATACTGAATAAACATGATATGGCATTATAGCGCCTAGCGAGCTTTAAGTTCTGGGCTATGAGTGAAGATCAAAGAAAACTCCAAACCTGTTACAAAACACACAAAGAACAGAAGGAGAGAGAAAACACGAAGAAGTTTTAGGGAATAGTACTCGTTAAATGAAAAAGCAGAAATTCTAATTAAGCCTAGCAACTGCAGTAATATCTGGTTTTGAGTTTTAGACGCCTTGACCTAGCCCCAAAGCATTCTTAAACTGTTTTAATGTAACACTACTTAGAATGCTTGTCCTTAGGAACAACCAAACAGGGGCAGTGTGCATGATGTATGATATAATCACTTGTGCTTCCTAATATGGTGCGACGGACAGTGCCCATTCCACGGCTTCCACAGACAATCAATGTTGCATGCTCTTTCTCAGCAATTTTGCAAACATGTTCTCCTGGATTTCCACCTTGAATAATTATCTTGGCTGAGACCTACGGTGACAGTTTCAAAGAAATATATTATGCTACAATTGGTTGGGAGCATAAATTAATAATTATGCCCTGTCATATTGGGTAACAAGCCCTACTTAACCATCAAAACATTACCAACAGCTTATGTGTGGAGTGACTAACCAGTTAAACCCTTTTACTCTTTGGCTCTCAGATTGAATGACAGAGTCTTGTGAGGTGGTTTCTGGTGTGATCACTCAACTTCTTGGGAGATACTTTCACATTGTGGGCAGATTTAAGGATGGGCCGTGGGGACAGCTCCCCTTTTTCTGAAAAGTTTTGTCAGTATTCAATTCTCAGTAAAATAACTATAAGTATCTACAAAGCTGACAAGTGTCCAAGTGTGCCCCCAACCCCCTCCTCCTTGTCTGAATTTTCTTGATCTTCCCCTGCACATAATGCTATTTGTTTTTCAGCATTTTACAAAATTACTGTTAAATGTGGAATTTTGCTGAATGTTTACTTTGGCCATACCCTGGGTGCCAGAGGCTTTTTTCAAATCATGAGCACAGCTTATTTCATCCTAGGTATTTTGAGAGTTGGCCCCTCAAGCTAGGGTACTTTGGTCACTTTTGGGAGAGAAAAAGTTAAACCCTAATCACCATGCACCAGTCTAGAGTGGTTACCTCCATAGCTTCACATTTGGCTTTATATTTCTCTTCCAAGTCTTTAATGTACTGTTCATGTTTCTGAACTTCCTTCTTCCACTCCTCTGTTGCCATGGCATCTAAAGAGAAAGAAAATTATTGGTTTGTAAAGGCCACTTGGTACAAACATAAAGTCGAACCTCCCATAAGGGACCACCCAAAATGCGAAGAATTAGTGGTCGCTTACAGGAGGCGGTAGCTTACGAGAGTCAAACTGCAGGAGGTCTTTTACAAGGAAAAGTCCAAGCACATCAACTTTTTGTAGAGTGTAGTGCATGCAATTTTATGTTACAATATAAATTATGAAAATCCATGTTGTTTCTAAAAGTTCTTCCCATACTATTGAGTAGCATAGTACATACTTCACTTAGAAAAGGTTAAAAAACAATGGAAAATTCTAAAACTGTCATCCTAAGAAGTGGTCGCAGTCACTTACAAGAGGTGGTCATTTACAAAAAGTTCCAGCTATAAAGCTTTGACTGGAAA